AATTTCCTACCATAGCTTCCAGAAATTTCATGCCCCATTTTTTCAAAATGGTTTTTTAAAGTAAATACTGTGACTCTGAGCCCCAAACTTTTAATCATACCCCTATGTCACTACAATTTTCTCATCAAACTCATAAACATCAATCTTCCCTTAATTTAATCATGACAATTTCTGTTTTTTCCTATCTTTTCTAATTTGTTCCAGCTTCCTAGATGATTTGAACAGCCACATGAACAAACCAACCAGTAACTGGGTTCCATTACTTCTTTTATTTCTTGTTTTTTTTTTTTTCCAGTACAGAGAATCGAACTCACGACTTCACGCTTGCCAAGCAGGTACTGTGCCACTGAGATAAATCCCCAGCCCCACTTATTTATCTCTAATAACTATTTTTTAAAGTCTTATCCACCTAGGTTTTTGCTCTCCTGGCAGGCTGTGGGCACTGGCAGATTTCAACAGACATCTCTTCTTGATTCATCCAAAAGCAGTTTCTTCTTGCAAAAAACAACATTGCATCTGGATTTTCCTGTTCCTCACAATGGCTTCATATGCAAAACCCTTAATCTGAACGTCCCAACTCCTGACCACAACTTCTTATCCTTCAAGTTTTTGAAATTTAGTCAAGCTCATTTAAATACTTTTCCAGTTTTATCTTAAGCTATAAGCCCACTATATATCTACATTTTCTCTATTTACCAGTCTGTTTTGGTCTTACTTTTCTCTATTCATATTTATTGGAAACTGGTTGTATATTGAACACTTTAAAGTTACACTTCTAGATACTCACTTTCTTCCCCCTCGCTTCCTGGATCTTTTCTTTCTCATGTTGGGTACCTAACAAAACTCCAAACTTAAACAAATAAGATCATCTGTTTTTCCAAAGTCTGCATATGGGAAGCATGAGAATGTTGCATGTGATCATACTCCAAAGCCAACCACTATTACCCAGAATAGATACTTATCAATGCTTCTTAGGAAGCTCGCCTGTCTCTATAGTTATGCCATTTTATCTCTTTCACAGTAATGAATTGTGGGTATTCGTTCCAAACCTCTATATATCAAATTTCTACCTCTTACATATCCTTTCTACTGCACACAAACAAAACAATATAGAAATAGGAAATTCCTAAACATCTGATTAAATAATCACAGCTCTTTCTGAATCTACAAATGGTCTGTCAACTCATTCCAATACTTTAAATACCTGGAGAAGGAGAGTCATTTATTCTTATTTAAAATTATTTTTCTTCCTGTCCTACAGATAATTTTCTCACCTTTCTTGAATATGTTATTACCTTTGTGCCCTTTTTACCACACACTTTTGTTCATTTTAAATTTTATTGAAGCTAACCTTTTTGCAATTATTCACAGTCTCTCTGGCTGTTCAAATTCTTTTAGATATTTAGTGTCACTCAACATTCTTCTCTAAAAAAATTTAAAAAAAATGCTTTTCTCATGCTCCTCGTCTTTGTTGTAATGTGCTTCCACTTAGAACAATCTTTAAAAATTCCATAGTATTTATTACCTCTCTCACTTTGATTGCTATATTTGTATCTCTAGACAAACTCTTTCTGTTCAGATCATGAACTTAATCTCTATTGTACGCTTGAGATCTCAATTTGAATGTCCCTCCAAATGCAGCCCAAACCAGTCTGCTAATCTTTATGCACAAAACTGTTCCTCTTCCTAAATTCCTCTTTTCAAATGTGCAAGCAAAAATACCTTTCAAATTGAACTTATGACTTTCACCCCCATAGCCAATCTACTATACGATAACACTTATTGCATCCAGTACATCACCTGTCTATTACTCTGTATTTCACCATCACATGCTTACAGCGTTGTAATCTAAGCTACTAACACAGGCTAATGCTAGCACAGGGTACCGCTCACAGGTTTTCCTCCTTTTTAGTTAATATTTAAGAAATAAGACTATACATCTCCAAATAAGACACTTATATGGCACACTTGTCTCTTGGTATCCTTTCTGAGATTAGTTCTCAAACTCTCATAGATACCAAAGTTTGTAAACACTCATCCCTTATACAAAATAATATAATATCTACATATAACCTAGCCAGGAATTTAAGTCATTTTTAAATTATGTATAATACTTAGCATAATGTAAGGGCTATCAAATATTTGTTATACTCTATCATGTAGCAAATAATGGCAAGATAAAAGTCTATTTAGTAGAGACAAATACAATTTTGTTTTTGATAAGTGCTTGATTGAGTTGGCAGATGTGGAACCCAGCAACCTGCACAACTCTTTCTCTTCGAATGCTTCTAGACTACATTTAAAATTCTCAATGAAGACTACAAGTTTCTAGGCACAGTATCTCCACTATCTTTGTAGTTTCATGCCAGTAGGGATGGCAAAACTTTTAGAGACTGAGTGCCCAAACTGCAATCCAAAACTCACTTATTCACTTCAAAGTGCCAGCATTACCCCTTTGTGCACTGATATCTGATGCTTGGCTGCTGCCCACACGGTCTGCCCACACGGCTCTGTGGGCTTGCAGCATCATGCATGCCATATGTTTGCCAATCTGTGCTAAAGTAATGTGTACTTTGAAATCTCATCTCTGTGAACATGGGTCTTCTATTAAGCAATTGTTTTCTCTTACTGGTGTCTTTACACACCTGATTTCCCTTGTCTATAAAATTATATCATACTCCCAATCTCTTTAACCTACTTGTCAGTGATGTATCATTAAAATTAAATTTATTATTATTATTATTATTATTATTATTATTATTATTATGTACAGGGAATAGAACTCAGGACCTTGCATTCGCCAGGCAGGCCCTGTGCCACTGAGCTATATCCCTGGTCCAAAAGCATGATTTCTTATACTTCAGGATTGAACAATCCTCTTTGTTCCATGCTTATATGAATTACTACATCTTTTCTCTTTCATCATTACATAACCATAAATATAACAACAGTCTCTAACTTAAATATTTATTGAATGAATGAATGAATGACACATTTTCTGTTCTGTTTGACTTTGTCTATGAAGCTTGTTCATCTAGATCTCATAGAACTCTGGCTTTCCGAATTAATCTTTAGGCAGAGTTCATGTTAGCCCTCCCTGCCTTGTCCATTCCTCTTGCTTAATTATATAATTCCTTAAATTACAATTCATGGACATTATTGTTATTTGTCTAACAATAAAATATCCTTGCAAAACAAGAACCCTGTGGTTGTCAATGTTCATCCATAATTTCTTAGCATACTGTCGGGTTTATATCTACATGTCATCTCCCCAAAGCCTCATGCTCTCATGGGTAGGGATTATGCAAGGGTGGCTCATTTGCTGTTAGGAGACAGGTTCTGGTTGGGTCACCGGGGCATGACCCGGAAGGTCATATCTCCCTCCTCAGTCCTGTCCTTCATTGTCTGCTTCCTGCAGCAACTGCGTGATCAGCTTTTCCTCTGCTCTGACCCCTGCCGTGACTAGGGACAGCAAAATATGGTCTTCAGACATAACCCAAAATATATCTTTTTTCTTTAGGTTCTGGGTGTTGGGTACTGTATCCAACGAAGAGAAAGTAACTGTGGCACATATTTTGTCACACAACATAGCATGACTTGATGATTCTGATGATTAAGAGAAACATAAAGATCTCAGATAATCATCTCTTACAAGATTCTCCAGCTGTGCTATGTGGGATGCCCCTGAGAACAACTTCCTGGCAGTAGAAGTGGTCCTACAGAATTTGTTAGTTTCTAGATACTTCCTATCCTATTTTCTGTTTTTGTAGTCAAATAGAATAGGAATGGAAAAAAATTCCACTATTGTTCTTTGTTTATTATGCTTTCTAAAATACAAAGTTAAAAAAAAGGGTAAAAAAATGAAATAATAGGTTTGGGGTTGATATTGGTAGATAAGGTTCATATTTTGAATACATTATGATTTAGAAACAATGTAATCTCTGGAGATTCTCTAGAATCACTTTTAATATTATGCAAACAAACCTTAGTAGCATTATTCATCAGGTGCGCAACAAAAAGAAGTTTCCAAAGTTGTCTTTTTCATTTTAAATCCCTTGAAAACTAAAGCTGCTTCACATTTTGAATTTTTTCCATCACACCAAATAGAACAAAAACAATGTAAGTATATATATCTATGTTGTATTTTCTTTAATTCCCCTAGTATACGACTTAGTTAAATTTGAATTAGTAGAATCTTCCATTAATTAAAAAGTGAAACTACCTTTCTTTGTGAGATTAGATTAAAAGAATGAGAAGAGGGACTAAAACTTGAATAATTCATTTTAACATTCTCAAATTGTACATTTTATAGGTTTATTGTTTACCTACATATCTAACAAGGGCCAAGCAACTGCAAGTTGACTTTGGAGAAAAAATTTTTGTTAACATTTGCAGGTTTATATATATATATATATATATATATATATATATATATATATAAATAAAATTTCCTATATGCACAGTCAGTACCAAGAGTAGTGGTGACCCTTGGTATTACATGATTATGTGGTTTTATGTTTCATATTTTTCCTATTTACTTATCTGTTACATCTTTTAAAGTCTAAAACAACAATGTTTTGTAAAATCAAAATTCTTAACTGTACCTTACCCAATTCAAAAGGTCAAATACTCTCAATCCTCCCAGGCAGAGAATAATCTATCTTACAATAGTGTTGACATGTGCAAGTTTAGCTTTAAGAGTGCTCTCTACAAAGCCATGAACTCTGAGCAAGGTAATGCCTTTATTACATAGACAAAAGCTGTATCTATGGCCATCTTTAGCTACGTGACCCCCGGGCCACAGTGTCTGTGGTTCACCCCACCACTTCATTGATTGAGCCCAGTGCCCTAGATCAGGAGATGAGAGCGCAGTCGAAAGCCGCGTGCAATACTGTACCACACATATCTGGGGCTTCATCTGAGTTGTCTCCACAGTCATCCTGTCCATCACAGACCCAGAAGTATAGTTTGCACAGGGAATTATTGCATAGGAACTCATCAGGTCTACATATATTTCCTCCTTCATTATAAAACAGAACAGAACAAAAGAACAGTGCATTAGTCATAAAGACAACAGGACGCACATCCTTCCGAGTATGTGCTGCTTCCTTATATTTGTTTCCTGCATAATACTTAAGACACATAACTTTCAAAATTTTCTAAAGCAGGTGTTCATGGCTTACAATTCAGAACACTCTCCTATTATCTCTCTCTCTATCTATTTATCTATCTATTTATCTATATCATATTTTGTTTAGGAATACTAAAATAGGGTAGAAAGTAAAATGTAAATTATCTCCAGTGTTATATGATGTTGATGATACTGAGTATAATAAATTAGATTTTTAAAATTATGAATTTTTGAGATAAAATTGTGTAGTTCTAGATAGGAAAAGACATTGGTAGAATTAATAGGTAATTCAGCTCTATCTGAAATAGAATAACTGGTAAAATGTATTTGTAGTCAAAAAGACAAATTTAATCTTGTAAAAACAACAGAAGTTTGGCTTTATCATGCATTATTCTGGTTTTTACTAGGAGAAGCCTCAATAAGCCTTCATTTTGTGCTTTAAATTTTTACATTTTTTTTACATCTATGAACAAAAGGCATTAGGAATACAAAAGCAATATAAATTTGCCAAGTGTATTTACTAACTGTGCTGGACTCAAAAATTTCATTTGGCATTTATATCTGGAAAGCAAAACTGGCAGAGACCTCAGTAAGAATTCAGGAACTGTGGGCTCTTATCGTACTTTAGATGAACACATTATTGTGTCCGTGACTCAGTACCTTCCTACATTACCAAAAGAACCAGGATTAATGTAATTTATAAAATGATATTTATAACAAGTACCTGGGAAGTAACACAAAGATAAGAATGCAGAATTAAGATAAGTAAGACAATTCTCACTACACTGTTAAACCTCATATAAGATAAAAAATGTGAATAACATGGGCTGGTTTGATTTGACCCACTGATGGTATAAAGATATTTAAAAATGAGTACAAAATGAGTGTACTCATTGGAACATGGAATTGAAGGAAGTGGTCAAACCTGCGTTCCGAGGAAAAGCTGATATTCATCCTATGGATGGAGTTTGGAGAAAAAACTTGAGCCTCAGATTGTGAATGCTCCATAATTTTCCTTGCTCTGAATTTTACTTTATCACGTAAATGTGGAATTCAGTTTCAGTGGCAAAAATTTATGGGTGAGTGTTGTCTTAATTGAAAATCAAAATACATAGACTACAAAGCAGATTCTGATTTTTTCAGGATAAAGATTATAATGACAAAAGCCAATAACATCTTACAATGGGTTAAAATCAAACAGAATTTGTGAACTCTTGACATCCTCTGATAATTTTAGAAAATTCTATTTGTAGCACATCAGTCATATTAAAAGAAAAAAATAAGTTCCCTAAGGGATTACATTAGATAACATTATAATTTTCCCCATAAGAGTTTTGGACACTCCACTCTTTTTAGGGAGAGAAATATAAATTATATCAGAACTATAAAGAAAGGCAAAAGGTTTTGTGATAACTCACTAATGACTTTATGCTGTACTGTAAAGAATTTGCATTTCAAAAAATATATCATGGGGCTATTGTGACAACCTGTGTCTAACTTAAAATACCTTATTTTGAAATAGTATGAAGCACACAGCAAAAGTTATAATTTAAGGAGATTGGCTAGATTAAAATTCCAGTTTCCAACTGATATTCTTGATCTGCTCAACATGGGCTTATAGCAAAAATTGAAAAGCATATATTAATTAACAATGACATATCTAAATTATAACTGAGCTTTTGGCAGATTCATAGAAATCTGTTCAACTATATCATCACAGAAAATAAACATCTAGAGTTCTCTTAATTTGTCTTGAGAAAAATTTTAATGTACGATAATATTTTATAATTAACATACATAGTTTACATGAGAGCTGATGACTACCAAAAAGAACACCTCCAAATCTTTTCCTCCAAAATTGCCATAAAAAATAGGATAAAGTATGAAAGCTTGGGACAGAACTAGAACCGAGGTTCATCGAGGTCATGTTTCCCCTTCCAAAATGTGAATGCTACTTTAAGCCAAAGTCCTTCCCATCAAAAAAGTAAAACTGATTTCCTAGGAGAACATGTCAGGCCTATCCTGCAGTGTTTTCAGATTTTGGGGCCAAGTATTAGCTCATGTGACTAGAAGTGAGATTTAATAGAACCGATGTTTATTCTGGCATTCCAGTTCCCCAAAGCCTTGAAAGACTGTTACCCAATACACAAAACCATTCTCTAAGAGTAAGTCGAACACTAAAAATACAAACTTTGTCAGACCTAAGGTACATCTAAATGGGACCAAACATTTTAACCAAGATAAGGCACAGAAACATAATTATTTAGCAGCAAAGAAACACAGGGAAAGTTATTAGTGTGAGTGGAGAAAGGAGGGCTTTGATATAATTTAAGTGATAGAATGAAAGGCTATGAGCTTTCTATTTTTAGTCAGAAAGATTAAACACTTAGCACAAACCTTTCAGATTTTAAAGACATTTCACATGGTCTAGTGAAAGATATAATATGCCAAGATATAATATGTTAGAAAAGTAATGGAATATAAAGCTGGGGATATATACATTGAATCATTTACTTGTGAAACTTCCAGTCAGAATGATTCAGGTCTATGTAACCAGGGATACTTCAGTGGGATCAGCACGTTCACTTACTCTTAAATAAGATGAATTGGGCAGCAGTAAATATGTACAGGAGACTAGATAGGTTATACTACAGAAGTCCAAGAAAGAGTGTGTGAAAATGAACTAGACCCATTGCCCTGACTGAAGTTGCAGATGGAGCTTGTTAGATGGAGTTCATCCTAATGTCTTTTGATAGGAAAGTGTAAATGTTTCATTGCTGCTAGGCTGTCTGCCATGTTTATTGTCCCTGGAATGACAGGCTACATCAGTTGAGTAGGAGAACTTAACCAAAGTTAGAAACAGTCATTATGGATGTTTAACCTTTCGTCATTCTCTTTAAAACACTTCGGATTTTTGAAGGAAAGTAAGGATTCTTCTAAAAATAATACTTGATCGGGTTTGGAATATTATCTGATAATAACCACCTGATCTAATATTTAGAAAGGAGAAGATATTTCCTTGGGTGACTGCATATTGGTAGAAGGAAATATTTAGACATATTTATGATATAAAGTCCCTGAGTGCATCTTAAATGCCTTGTACATGTGAAAGTTTCTGCTGTCACTGCTGCTAATCCTGTTTCAGATAATCTGAAAAGGAAAGTTTATCAAAAGATTGTGACAAACAAATCATAAGTGATTTTATACTTAAATAGTACATTTAACAATATAAAATAAGATTTGTGTGATTTGTGATCACTTTGTTTCAACACAAAATTTACTTGCTTTCATTAATAACTATTAACTCAAATTAGTAATAATTGCTTCTTTAATGGAGTGATTTATAACTAAAATGTTATTATCTACCATAAAATAGTATTTACATAGCTAGAAAACAATGTATGATAAATTTGAATATTGATTTTACACAAAGAATATTATATTGTTATAGTTTTTTCAATAGTATGGAAAGATGGAAATTTGGGGTACAAACTATTACCCACCTAACACATAGAATTTGAATTTGTACAATGTAATATATCATATGTTCTTACTGTTCTTCCAGAGTAAAGCCAGCAATGTAGAACTGTACACAGAATACACAAAATATTTTGCAATAATATGTTTTCTATCCTCTTTGTATATCCTCATCACTGACCAAATGTCATATATGAAGACATTCTCCTGCTCAGTACTTATTAAACTCTTGCATTCAACTTCTGTTTGTTGTGCAAAGAATTGAATGTGTCAGCATATAATTAACATTATATGAGATGATCTGGGTTTTGCTTATTTGGAATACGCTGTGATAGAGCTATGAAGTGTAAATGGGATCATTAAATGATCTAATCCTCTACCTCTAGCACATACTATATATTGTGCACATCTTTGTTTTCTACTATGGGCATGCACAAAATAACACCTTACCTGTGTCACAGACCTCTTCATCACTTCCGTCCACACAGTCATGAATTCCATCACACAGCCATCTCACTGGAATACAGTGGGCTCGGTTTTTGCATCGAAACTGATCTGCCCTACATTCAGTCACACAGCCCATCTGTTCAAACAGAAATGGGCACCGCAGTTTTCACTAATGATAATGATATAATCACAGGCAAAATAAAAATACAGCTTATAGTATCGGAGATTCACAATAGAGTAAGATTTCTTTCATTTTGACTTAACGAATATAACCTCTATGAATGACAATGGGCTTTTGTATAGACACAGCATGAAAATTCAGGTCTTATTGAAATGATTGTATTTAGAATATTATAACCAGCATTTTAGACAGTGCTAAGAGTCAAGTTTCTATTTCTCTTTTATTATATTTCCTTTCCCAATCCTCATTCATGTAATTCAAAGATTTTAATCAAATGATAGACTTTACCTCATCTGAACCATCAGCACAGTCATATTCTCCATTACATTTCAAAGATGCTGAAATACATCCTCCGCTGGTACATATATATTCTCTTGATGAGCAACTAGGAGAAGCTGAATACAATCATGAAGTGGATATTTAGATATAGTAAAATAAATGACAGATTTGGAAGATAAAAACATTATGTAAGCAATGAAAATATAAATTGCTGAAGAGAGATGAATATAGGTTATATTATTTAAACAGTATTCAAGAGCTGGAATTAAAGGTTCATTTAAAATGCAATTTCCCACATCTTTGCATTATATTGAATGCACTTCAAAGACATAATAACCTGTGCAGGGAGAATTTAACTCTGACTAAATGAAGTTGGGGACCTCAATGTCTTCTATCACTTTCATTTTCAAATGTTACATGACTTCTGCACAATTTTGGATTATTTAAAAAGATGAGTCTGAAATCATTTTCAAAACTATAACAATATTAAGTAATTTGGCAAATATGAATTTACATATGCAGTTAATAAAGCAAAAAGTGAAAATCTGGGCATGGTAGCTATTTGGCTTGGGGGACATAAATATAATGTTTAATAAGCTCTATTGTTTTGAGGCCCAGGGCTTTAGCTCAGTTGTGTGTCCGCCTGGGACAGGTGAGGTCCTGAATTCGATTCCCGGTATGCCTACCAAAAAAATAAATTTATTATTTTGAGGTACTAAGCATGAATATGTGTATGGTCAGTGAATCCCATATACTTTGTGGCATTCCTTTATGACACGGAAGTTAAAAATAACATGTAGATACATTATTAATACTTCACAGCCTACTTGATTAACATAAATATTCTGACAACCACTTTGTTGGTTTGGGATTTCCAGCCTTGAATTAAACCCTTAGGGTTTCTGGGCATGTATTACACCACTACATGGTCCAATGTCCTCGCTAGCAACTGTGGTACTGTTGCTTAGTTCAAGAATGCTAAAACCTTTTTCCCTGAGTTTAACTCCTTTTAATTAGCAGCATTTGTCTAGCGAATCTGTATTAATAAGAAAGCAAAGTGTTTGTCTGTATTCAATATGAAGAAGATGTAATCATTGAGCGATATAGACCACTGATTTAGGGCTGAGCATGGAAATATATTTGCTGTATATTTGCTGCTCTGATTTGATCTCTTAATGTAATATTTCCAATGCTGCATATTGTTTACATTATGAGTTTATTATAATTTTATAAGATAATGTAATTGAATTGCCTAAGTAAAAACCAAATGCTTCAGGTAGCAAAATTATAAAGGCTTATTTAATGAAGATAAATGCACAAAATCAAATTTTTTGTGCTCTAGTTTAGCTTCCTAATTTTATTTTGAATTTGTCCTAAGGTGTAAATACCAGCGATATACTTTTGCTTCTAATATGTTAGCATATTAAACACACTGTGTTTGTTTCATAACCTCAAACATAACTGAAAGCTGAAAAGCTTTCTCATACTCACAGTTTCAACATATTTCATTTTGATATTTGGGAAGATAATTCCAAATGGTGTGATAAGTTATAAGAAATTCAAAATTTGGGTAAATAAAACTTGGATCCCATGTATGTGTAATCTCACCTGCTGAAACACTTTCAAAACATAAAAAGGTCACACCGACTAATTTACCTACATACATTACATATCATTTCTTTAAACCATGGAAAACCAAATTTGAGTGAATAAAGTTTGGATTGTATATGTAAGAAATGATTTCACCTGCCAAAATCTTTTCAAAACATGTAAAGGGCACATCAATTAATTTAGCTACAAATATTTCAGATTATTTCTTTAATACAATAAGTAAGTGAATGTTTCTGATACAGTGTTTTGTGTATTTTTTGTCTACATTTAAATTCTATCAAATGAGAGTACCAAGTACATTAAATATACCTTCAGGAATTTTACCTGGCTCACAACTTTTCTCATCTTCACCGTATTTACAGTCTTCATGGCCATCACATTTCCATTTTGCTGGTATACACTGACCGTTGGAACACTGAAACTGATCTTTGGAACAGCTTATTTCACAGTTTCTCTGTCAAATACAATAGAGACATAATGTATTTCTGAAAAAAAGATATGCAAGTCCAAAATACAACTAGAAAAGTGATGTGTAGAAAATGAGAAGTAGAAAGCACATCTACCAAAGTGGCTCAGATGGTCCTACTTTCAGCCTGTGGTTATATAATTATACCAATTTCCTACCAGTTGGTCTCTGGAGGTCATCATAAAACAAAGAAGTGGGAGGATAAATAGCATGAATTCATTATGCTAATTAAGTTGCTTTGAGTGGGCCATTCTTCAGAAAGCTATGAGGTGATGGAATTTCCATACTTGTAGTTGATAATGAAGATTGTGGAGAAATAAAAGATTTTAAAATCACTGCTGAGCAAGTCTGTCCTATGCACTGCAGCTCGGGCTGGAATGTGAACCAAGCACCCTGAGTTAAATTTGTTTTACACTGGCAAGATTTCACCTACAGTTCCATTGTCTTCACAGTTCCTCAGCAAGGCCCTTTTAGAGTTTATTTGGTGTTCATAAATCACCACTGCTTTTCTGACATCTGCTCCTAAAGAACTGTGAAATGAACTGCCACAATTGTCATTTCTGCTAACCTGCAGACAGTTTATCTGCAAGTCAAACAAGTTAGCAGATTTACTTTGCAGGATTTTTCAATATCTTAGGCAAGATAAATACAACATCCACTAGAAATTTCAAACATCTGGTTTAAGCCCTGGTTAAGGTGGGATTTTCCATGAAATATCTTGCTAGGAAGATATTTTCTCTTCTAAAGAGATGTCTATTGTTGCCAACTTGGACCTCCTACAAATTTGTAACATTCTCACAGATTGTGAAACTCCCAGGAAGACAAGAATGTTAAATTATCATTCACTATATCTTCCTCATTTCATCCCTATGTGAAAAAGGAAAATGTACTTCCTAAACTTTTGTCAGTTTCTTCTTACCAATGGCAAGTTAATTAGACAGCCTGATATATAATTAATCTTCTTCTCTCTTTTCCCAAATGTTGAATGTTTGCCACCTGCTAGGAACTTTCTTAGAAGGTAAGTCTGACTTCTTATATTTGAGAATCTCTTGGACAAATATGAAAGACCAACATCTAAATCACAATTGCAATATATGTTTATCACCAAGATAAATAAATGTGGAACTTCAGCGAAAGTCTTTACAGCAGAACATTTACCAGAAATGGAACTGCCTGAGAAGTAGTATTTCATGGGTAAGAACAATTTATCATGTGAAGTACCTATCTGAAGGCTAAGTGAGGTGATGGTGGATGTTGTGAATGACACTAGAAAAGGGGATCATGCACTGATGATGAGAAGGGGATTTCATAAGCTTTCTTCCACACTGTGCTTCCCAAGCTCAAGTAGATTCTGGGACGGGGCAGACAAACTAATGAAAAACTACTGAATGAACTTAATACCACAAGTAAAAAGCAGGTGTCTAAAGCAATTTTTTAAAACTGTTCATTTAAACTTACTTTAAGTGATGTATGAAAACTGTCACTTAATGTTTACATACATATATACATATAAGGTATTATGTTCAAATGAAGATAAATACTTATCTCCTCAAGCACTTCTCTTTTCTTTATAGTGAAAAGTTTCAAATAATTTCTTCTAGCTTTTTGAATTGTATAGTTCATTGTTGTCATAGCAACCCTACTAAATTATAGTATTGCAAAACATATACTGTGTAGCGATAACAGTGATCCACCTCTCCCTACATCTCCGTCTCTCCCCCACCTCTGGTCTGCCACTGCACTCTCAACTTCTGTAAGATCAACATGCTTAGATTCCACATGAATTAGATAACACAGTATTTGTGTTTCTGGGACTGGCTTGTGTCACTTGACATAGTAATCACCATCTGAATCAACATTTACAAAAATGACAGTGTTTTATTCTTTTATATAGCTAAATAGGAGTCTTATGAATATGTGCCACATTTTCTTTATCCATCACTTGATGGACACTTCAATTCTTTCCATTTCTTGGCAGTTACAAATAATATTGCAAAAAGCATGAGAGCAGAGATGTCTCTTAGAATACTTGATTCCTTTGGATATACAATTAGTGATGTGATTGTGGAATTACATAATAGTCCTGTACTTAGTTTTATGAAGAATCTCTATACTGTTTTCTGTAATGGTTGTACTAATACACACTCCCAGAAACACTGTGCAAAGAATCATTTTTTTCCACATCCTCTGCACTACTTTTTATACTTAGACTTTCACAGCAGCCATTTTTAAGTGGGATAATATGATATCTCACTCCGGCTTTGATTTGCATTTCTTTGATGATTAACAATACTCAGAATTTTACTTATGCCTGTTGGACATCTGATGGTCTTCCTCTGAGAAATGTCTATTTAGATATAATGCACATTTCTTCTTAAATAGGTTTCTTTAGTTTAAATTTTTATTTTTGTTTTTGAGGTTTTGGAGTTTCTTGTATACTTTTGGTATTATCTTCTTATCAAATAGATAATTTACAAATACTTTCTCTTATCATGTTGATTGCCTCTTAACTCTATCAATTGTTTTTTGTTTTGTTTGTTTTGTTTTGCTTTGTTGCTGGGCAGAAGTCTTGGAAATCACATCTGCCAATTTTTACTTTGCTTCCTATGTTATTGAGGTCTTGTGCAAAAAAGACTATATTTCTTTAATATCCTGAAATATTTTCCCTCTGTTTCCCTCTAGTATTTCAGGTTGTGTATTTAATCCTTTAACATATATTGTGTACATAGAGATCTATTTTTGTTCTTTTACATATGGATATCAAACTTTTCCATGTTGAAAAAAATGTTCTTTTTTCCAAAGAGTGTTTTAGCAGCTTTGTGAAAATGACATGTCTGTACTTGTGTGGGTTTACTTTTAATCTTTGTGTTCTAGTCTGTTCTATTTGTGCATATTTCTGTTTGATAAGATGATGCTATTTTGATTACTGTAGCTTTGTAATATATTATGAATTCAAGAAGTCCTTTTTTTTTGTTCCTTTTACTCAAAATAACTTCAGTTATTTGGGAAAATCTATGGTTCAATATAAATTTTTAGAATGTTGTATTTTTCTAACTATGTGAAGTTGTTAGTAATATTTTTGTAGAGATTGCATTGAATCAAAAGAGTACTAAGGAAGTAAAATGACATACAACTGACATTGATAGCCCCCATTCATGAAAATGGGAACTGTTTCCACTTTTCTTGCATTCTTTTCAATTTCTTTTTTTATTGATTCATTTTAGATACATGTAATGATAACATTCATCGAAGGGAATTTAGACCTGTACATGATATATCTTGCTTCTTTTTCTTTTCCCACTCCCTTCCATTTCATTATGGTTGATTTATTGCATCAACTTGAGAAGTTTAGAACACTAACTAAGTAATTCAGCAGGCCTACATCCTGGGATGCAGAGGACAGGCCTTTACCACTCTAGGATATTGTTCATTCGTCAATTCGAGAAGTTTAGAAGTTTATCTAAGCAACTCAACCAGGGTCCAGAAACCTCACTTTGTAAACATCCCAACCTGTGCAAGAGGAGGTCATGGAGATGGTTTGAGTGCTGCAACCACGGTAGGTGTAGCACTACATACTGTGTATATGTGTATATATATATATATATATATATATATATATATATATAGTGTATATGTGTATATACACTGTGTATATGTGTGTATATATATATAGTACATAGAGCACTATATATTCTATATAAGGCAAGAAAAGAGGCTTGCTTCTCCCCAGTTTTGCTCTTGTTGTCTTTCCCCTCTGTGAACCATGGCCCCTCTGCCTTGGAGCCAGCTGATTACCGATGGAAACCTCCACAAACTATGAGCTACATAAATCTTTCCTTCCTTAACTTTGTTGGGTACTTTGCCCCAGCAACAAGAGAAAAGTAACCAAGACAAGGGCTTCTTCCCCTCCTTATTTACAAAAGTTCTGTTTTCATTTTTCCTTCTATTCCCTATTGTTTCTTGTCCCTTTCCTTTCTTCTTCCTCCATTCCTTGGTTGCCTTCTCATGTGAACATTTTATGCCAATTTCTAAATGTCTGTTATACATTTTGGTGTTTATCTACATTTTTCGTTTCTCACATCAGAGAAACAATGTGGTTTTAAAACATATGTGGCTGATTTGTGTCACTGTGATATGATGATTTAATTATTTCAGAGTGATACCAACAAGAAGAATTGAACATCTAGTGTTGGTTTTTTGAGGAATCTTCACACTGATTTCCACACTGCTTGCACCAGTATACACTTCCACCAACAGTGGAGAAGGGTTCCTTTTTGCCTACAGTAAACCAGTATTTGTTATTCTTTTCTTTCTTGATAATAGCCAGTCTTCTGGCATTACATGGAATCTCACCATTGATTTATTCTGCATCTCTCTTTCTGAAAATACTAGAATTATACGCTCTGCGCCAACCAGTTATTCCCCTTCTGGGTATCCTACCAGAAGAATTTAAAATATGATACCACACCAATATATGTGCACCCATGTTTATAGCAGTAAAATTTGTAACAGCTAAATCTTGGATACAGTCCAAATGCCCATCAATGAAGTAATGAATAAAGGATGTGTTTTTATACAATGGAGTACTATTCAGCAATAAAACAGAATAAACTAGAGCCTTCTATAGATACATGGATACAACTTGAGATCTAAAATAAATCAGACTTACATGAGTAAACATCATATTGTCTCCTTGGTGTGAGAAACTGAAAGAGTAAATAAGTCCCAGAATGTATAGAAGATATTGTGAAATGGGAAAAAATTGGTGAAAAGGAAAAAAGAATTAGGATGGGTGAAAGGGAAAAAGGTGGTAAAAAAAAAAAAAAGGGAAAAATGCAAGTCAGTTATACTACTAGTGTCTCTCAGTTCATTAAAAAGGAT